GACGTATCGCCTGCTACTTCCCATCACCACCTCAGACTGGTTTCAACATACACATACGGTATGTCTCCAGCATGACACACATACGTACCGATGCAGATCCTACCACACACTTGTTTTTGACTTCCACAGATTTCTTATTGACCTACAGATTTCTTTTTGACTTCCACAGATTTCTTTTTGACCTCCACAGATTTATTATTGACTTCCACAGATTTCTTATTGACTTCCATAGATTTCTTATTTTCCGTAGATTCCTTATTGACTTCCATAGATTCCTTATTGACTTCTATATATTCCTTATTGACTTCCACAGATTCCTTATTGACTTCCATAGATTTCTTATTTTCCATAGATTTCTTATTGACTGACTTCCACAGATTTCTTATTTTCCATAGATTTCCTATTGACTTCCACAGATTCCTTATTGACTTCCATATATTCCTTATTGACTTCCACAGATTTATTATTGACTTCCACAGATTCCTTATTGACTTTCACAGATTTCTTATTTTCCATAGATTTCTTATTGACTTCCACAGATTCCTTATTGACTTCCATAGATTTCTTATTGACTTCCACATATTCCTTATTGACTTCCATAGATTCCTTATTGACTTCCATAGATTTCTTATTTTCCATAGATTTCTTATTGACTTCCACAGATTTCTTATTTTCCATAGATTTCTTATTGACTTCCACAGATTTCTTATTTTCCATAGATTTCTTATTGACTTCCACAGATTCCTTATTGACTTCCATAGATTCCTTATTGACTTCCATAGATTTCTTATTTTTCATAGATTCCTTATTGACTTCCACAGATTTCTTACTGACTTCCACAGATTCCTTATTGATTTCCATAGATTTCTTATTTTCCATAGATTTCTTATTGACTTCCATAGATTTCTTATTTTCCATAGATTCCTTATTGACTTCCATAGATTCCTTATTGACTTCCATAGATTTCTTATTTTCCATAGATTTCTTATTGACTTCCAAAGATTTCTTATTGACTTCCATAGATTTCTTATTTTCCATAGATTTCTTATTGACTTCCATAGATTTCTTATTGACTTCCATAGATTTCTTATTGACTTCCATAGATTTCTTATTGACTTCCATAGATTTCTTATTGACTTCCATAGATTTCTTATTGACTTCCACAGATTTCTTATTGACTTCCATAGATTTCTTATTGACTTCCATAGATTTCTGATTGACTTCCATAGATTTCTTATTGACTTCCACAGATTTCTTAATGACTTCCATAGATTTCTTATTGATTCTCCGGAGGGTTCAGGCAGGTTCAGTGCGAAGACAATGGCTTGAATCATTACAGAAGTCCACTGTGCGTGGAGTCACCTTTATTTTTGTTCCGGGACACTCAAGCGTCGATGGAAGTGAAAGAGCTGACAGGTTGGCTGGATCCGCTATCACTACCGACGGTCAGCCTATGGATCATGCTGATATTATCAATGCCCTCAGAGAAATGGGAAGGATAGAGGACTTTGGTGGCAGTGAATCAACATCACTCGCCAGAATGGCAGACTTGGGAATTAAGATCGGTACAGCAAAAAACGAGACGCACACCAGACACGCCAGAAGACATGTTAATCAACACAGAACTGGTACTATTAGCCATCGGACGTTGGGGTTCATACTGAGGGGAGGATCTGAGCACCTATGGACATGTCCGGAGTGCAATGAGGATAACCCAACTAACTAACTAACTAAGATTTCTTATTGACTTCCACAGATTTCTTTTTGACTTCCATAGATTTCGTATTGTCTTCCACATAATTCTTATTCACTTCTACAGATTTCTTTTTGACTTCTACAGATTTCTTTTTGACTTCCATAGAATTCTTATTGACTTCTACAGATTTCTTTTTGACTTCCATAGATTTCTTATTGACTTCTACAGATTTCTTATTGACTTCCATAGATTTCTTATTGACTTCCATAGATTTCTTATTGACTTCCATAGATTTCTTATTGACTTCCATATATTTCTTATTTACTTCCATAGATTTCTTATTGACTGACAGACTGACTTCTAATTCTATTACTATGTTTTTGTTAGATCATACAATGTCACTCAGTGTGTATGTATGATTAGAAAGATTATATAATTTGTCTTATTATTTTTCTACAGGTCCTGAAGAAACTGTCAGAGAAAGATTAGGACAGGTATTTACATGCTTGAGCATACTTCTTCTTCTCCTGCTGGCCTTTGCGTCGTCCTATTTATATTCCATATTTATGACCGATAGAAAACAACATCAGTTTATAAGTTGTTGCTTCCCCCCCCCCCCCCCTAATATTTGCTTTTATTAAAAATATTTATATTCATACGCAGATTTACATAATTTTTTTTAAAAACCTTCAAATGCATTGCAGTGACGTTACTTCAATGGTGCTATTGCACTGTCTCTGGCTCTTAACATTTGCGGTCTACTCTGACACATTCTTGAATACTGTAACACAGCCAACTGGAATGAGACACACGCTGAGAAACACTAGAATAGCGTGTAACATTCGTGTTTACTCTGCAACGGTGTCTTTTCCGATCAACACACTGTCAGAGGTGAAACGAGTCCAGGGTCCTAGCAACATTCACAATTAAATAGATATTTTCTACAATTATAAGGATTAACACTGTCACTGCATCTCATTGTTAGCACTTTATAAACTCAAGAAAACATCAAACAAAGTTGCAATCACAGCAAGTCGTCATAGATTCAGTGGCCAGGTTTCTGTAAATTGCTAAGTTGAAACAAACGCGAGCTAGATTCAGGATTTGTTCACTTCATCCACTCCAACCTTCAACGAACTTATATCGTCAGCTATAACACTCTCTTTGAAATGAGAGCTCGGCAAGGTTTTAAATATTCAGGTATCTTAGCTAAATACACTGTGTAGTGTTTGGACTCTACTTGCCAGAGTTGTTCTACAAAGACTCCAGATCCCATGAGACCAGGATTAACATGAGACACATTGTGGCTTTTATGGGAAACGGTCTACCACTAATATGATATTTTCATTACAATTTGCAGGAAAAATGCCATGAACAAAATCAACCACTGTATACTGCTTTTATTAATCTTACTAAAGCATTATTTTTGGTTAGTCCAAAAGATCTGTTCAACACATTGATTTAGTGGCCACCTACTCTATTGAACATTTTGAGTCGTTCCACGAAGGTCTGAAAAGTACAATTCAACTTTGATGACCTAACTTTGGAGGCGTTTGTATTCAACAATGAAGTGCTGCAGGGATATGTACTTACCCCCCCCCCCCCCCTCCCCCCCCCTTTTTTTGACTGCTTTTTTGAAATATGCCTTTCGAGATCGGGAAGGTGGTAGGAGTTTATTCTTCCATCCTCGATCTGACGCCAGCCTCTGTAATGTGTTTAGGCTGAAAGTCCCAACCTGGATAAGGAAGGTATTTTTTAGAGAGCTGCTGTTTGCTGATGATGCTACAATTACCATCCATTCAGATGAGGGGCTGTAATGTTCACTTTCCGCATTTGCCCATTCTGTGAGTAAGTAAACAAGTAAAGATCCCTTTTCACGCCTTTTAGGTGTTTCGGGTACATGGGAAGAGCACCCATATTTTTACAGACCAACGGCACTAATTGGGTATTGTGGTCAGCAATACGCAGGTCGTCTTTACTTCCCCAGGTTCAGCCATCCTGGTACCCATTTTAGGCTGGGTCGACCTGCGACGCCCCATACCATGATAAAAGCTCCGCAGCCAGCAGTGGGTTTCGATCGCGGCACGTTGAAATTGCGAGCCGGACTCGCAACGCCTAAGCCACGGACGCCGCATTCATTCTGTGAATTTGGAATAATAATCAGCAAGAATGACAGACCGTCTGTCTACTGAACTTCAAAGGCAATTAATAGGCATTTTTAAAATATCCTTGGTATATCCTAGAGAACACCGTCACTAATGACAACGCTTGCATATCATTGCACAACACATTGACAGCAGTGAATCTCTTTTAAGAAAAGTGTAAAGGTGGATATTGTAAATGTACGGACGTTTAAAAAGACTCATTGACCATCTTTAAAATGATACTATATGGTACGGTAATGGAGAAGAGGCAGACCAATAAAGAGCTGGATACATAATTTGGCTGACTGGTTGGGTCTCAAATATACAGATGTCGCTTGCATCAAACCAGCATTGGTCTGATCAGACGGATCAGACAATCGAAGCAACTGGTGACCCAATGACACGTGATATTATAGGACTATAAATGATTTAATGACTGACTGACTGACTGAACGAACGAACAAACTGTATTTCCCAATGGTTACACATTGGGTACGCAGGTCCGTCATACATTCGGTCCTTCCAAGCATTCATCTTTTATACAGCAAAGAAAATCGAGGCTTTCAAGCAAACACTATCAAAACATTGTTAGAATACCAAAGAATGTGATAAAGAAGAGCACTTACATTCTACATTATCTGAACAATGAAGAAACTAGTTCTTAATCAGCATCACATCTAAGAAACTAGAATAAGTATGACCATATTGAAAGTTGACATTAGCTAATATTGTTAGCTAACATAATTATTCCTTGTTTGGGCTCCAGGCCCCATTTTGGGGTAGGGGAGGGAAAGAACAGACCCACTGTCCGTTAATAAGAATGTCATCAAATTCAGTTAATGAAGGATTTGCTAAAATCGGATGTGTTGGCCTAAAAGGGGCAGATATTGCAGCGCACTGTACACAACACATTGTGCCATCCGCCCTTTTAAGGAGGAGGAGGGAACGGAGAAGGAAGGAGGAGGAGAAGGAGGATGAGAAGAAGAAGAAAGAAGGAGGAGAATGAGGAGGAGGAGAAGGAGGAGAAGGAGAAGTATGAGGAAAGAAAATAGAAGGAAGAGAAGAAGAAGGAAAGAAGAGGAGGAGAAGAAGGAGGAGTTATACAAATGTAACATGTAAAATGTACAATGATATAATACAGTTCGTAAATGTATCAACAGAATATTGAGTATGTCCGTGACCTCCAGAGAGATGCGGCAAAGTTTCGGGAGACACTGAAAAGTCCCGCAGAAGACATGCAGTTCGCCTGTGAACCCTGCAATAAGATGTGGTGGAGAAGAGTGCCCATCAGAAAACCGCTAAATCTTCTGATTTATTGTCTATTTGCTATCTACTTTCTTTCTAATACTACTACTTTTTAAATAAAGATTATATTCTAAATACTTTGTAACTATACAGTTATCTTTATGATCTTTGGTTATCTTCTATTTTTTTCATTTTTATGACTTATTTTTTTTTTTTTTACTCCTCCTTTTTAACTTTATGCATTCTGCATTTATTTAAATATTATCTCCTTTTTTGTGTGCATCTATTGGAACTAGAGTACGAAAGAGACTTTGCTCCTCGCTCAGTACTTAACTACCATTGCTGAAGCTGCAGACTTTACCTATGTAAACTCTAACTATTTCGTCTGTACCAACATCTTTACATCTTTTGAGAACTATGTGAGGATGTAGCCAGGTCGTGATTCAGTATACCATGTGCATAATGACTGGCTGCCGTAAGGCTGAGGTTGGTAATGGTTCCTTCATGAAATAGGATTTCACTGAGATCACACCAAATCCCACTGCCTACATGGAAGCCACAGCTAACTTGTTTCCTCTATCCAGTTTCTGTTAGGTAGTTTCTGTTGTCCAGCTTACGTCAGGCATGTCAAACTGAGGTTCAACCAGCCCAGGATCAAATGCATCACATTTATGTTATCACAACGATCAGAAACGACAACAAATTCTTCTAAGTCTTCTAATATAAATAAATTATTGCAGGCAAAGGACCGCATGCGTTCCGCAGACCGCATGTTTGACGTGTCTGGTTTATAAAATACTGTTTCCAGTTCTAATTTATATTTGGTAATTCTAAATTAATAATATTTAACACTTTACAGTAGTTCAGATATTTTTGTTCATGTATCTGACAGGTATCAAAGTGTTACCGTTGTCACACCAAGTATGAGCCGATTCCCCCGGAGCATCAATGGGGCATAGGGGAGTTCCGGTGTCCATTGGGACATACGTTTAAGTATAAACATCTCTATCTATTTAAACAGTTTTTTTTTTCTAAAGCATTGTAAGAATGAAAAGATGTCATATCAACATACAAAATGTTGATGGATGAAAGAAAATTTAAGGAAGACATCTAACCTTCTTTTTCTACTTCTACCCCTCAACCTCCTCATTCTAATTATCCTCTGCAGTTTTACTACCCATCCTATTGCTTCTTTTAATTTGTTTCCTGCTTCTTCTTTGTTTCTTTTCTTTTCCTTATTGTTTTTCTTATATTTTTATTTTTCCCCTTCTTTGCTTCTTTATTTTTCTTCTCTTGCCCCCTCCTTCCTGCAGGCGGATTATCTTGCTAGAGCAGTGGTTCTCAAACTATTGGTTATTGTTTTGACCATTGTTTTATTGTCGTTGAGGTTGTTAGCTTTCTTGCCCCTATCTGGATTATCTTACATGGGTTATGAAGTCATATTCTTGTAACGGTGACCAGTTGTTCTGATTGTATGTGTCTCTAACCTGACTAGATTACATCATTTGAGTTATGCTGTTTCCTTCACTGCAATAAGACTGATTGTAAAGTTCATGGCAGTAACTAAAATCATAACTGAGCTAGAGACAGATTCCTTCACTCAGGTATGCTGCTTCATTGACTCAATATATTCCCCTGTATGTTCTGGGACCCAGTTGGGGAGATAGGGATAGACTTACTCTACCCAACAGGCTTTTCATCAAAGATGAGTAATTAGCAATTAGCTACAATCAGGTACGTTAGGCTGTAAGCTGCAGATATCGCAGGCTGGCTGTTATTCACCTCCCCTCCCCCCACCCCCCACCCCGGTTGGGGGGGGGGGGTGGGGGGGGTTATTAAACCTCTGCTTGATTTTTATGAATTTATGTAACCAATGTTGCAATTTCAGTGGTCTGAGATTTTGAGATAAATGCTGTCCCTATTCTATAGCTGTGATAGTCAAGCTGTACACGTGACATGGAGACACCTTTTTTCAAGGAAAAGGGGGAAGGGGGGGGGGAGAGAAAGTAGCACACGCTATTTAGAGGTGGCGATGTTTAACATCTGGAAGAAGTTTTGTTGGGAGGGACAGTTTCTAGAAGAGGAGCACAAGCCGACCTGGCAGTAAAAACACACAGGACTGCGGACTTGAGTGGAGACTTTCAGGCTTACCGTGACGATAGCAACCTTCTGTAAAAAACACTTGGTGATGATGATTCATTTAAATGTAAAGCTAACGAATCAGTCTTTGTGTTTCTATTTTCATGTAAAATGTTTGTTGCCCCTCGCCTGTTTCCAGAGGATTTGGAATCATGGGAAGGACAAAGAGCAAATGCTACAAATGTGACATGAATGAAGAAGCTGAAGTGATGAAAATCCTTCCTCCAAGAAGAAGAGATGGGGACAAACAGAGACCTCGGAGAAACCGTCATAACTGCAATGGAGTCAACTGCTATCAGTATGTGCATATCTTTTTGTTTTTATATACGCATGTATGAATCTTTTGACATATAAACGATGCAAACTATAGAGTATGGAAAGTGAGAAGAAAGAACACAATTCATAATCTGTCTCATCCATCAGTTCATTCATTATCCGGCTGTGCCATTCTATGTCACATGTTGCTCGCAGTCTATTTCTGAATGCCATTATTTACTATGCAATCAGTTGAATATTATGGATGGAATCCAATCCAGTAGCTTTGTCCTCTCTCATCAATGTCCGTCATAGGGTTTCTTTTGAGCCTTTTTTTCTCGATTTATTTGCACACGACTGTACCATCTATGCAAATGCTCAAACATGTAATGTACTAGAGTCGTCATTACAACAATAATTAAATAATGTAGTTCAATGGAGTAGTGCAAACCGTATGCAAATAAACATTTATAAAACCAAATCTATGCTAATAACGACCAGACAAAAAATATAAAGTTTAAATTCTCAGAGAACTCTTCAACTCTACATTGGGAGCACTCAATTGAAAAATGTAACTGAGCACAAGACATTGGAGTTGGAAACTGATGCATATCTAACCTTTAACTCTCATGTACAAGCACTTGTGAAGCAAACAGCTAAAAAGGTTTACCAGCTTGCAAAAATTAAAAACGTTCTTGATGAACACACAAGAAAGATATTCTATATTTCTCACATCCAAAAATATATAGACTATTACTCTACAATATGGGATGGCTGTTCCAGCTCTGTTATTAATCGGCTCACATCACTGCAAAAGCGCGCCATTCGCTTAATTAGTAAAAATCATGGGACAGTAAGCTCCGAAACATATAAAGGTCTTAGGCTACTACTGCTTCGTGAACGTCTACTTTTCAATAAGGCAATGAGAATAAGAAAAAACTCCACAGGGGAGCAAGTACAGCAGGGGTCTACCAATCATCAGTAGAAGTAACCTCTCGTCGAGAAATGTTTCGGTCCACGAGCTCCTAGACATTTTCAGAGAATGGGTCCACCTGAGTACATGAAGCTCAAGGTTGGTTTCTCCTGCTGCACGTATTACCTTATGTTATTCGGACAGGGACAAGACGAATTTGTGACTTTGCAAATGGTACTGTGAGATAAGAAGTCGTCGCGGTAGCATAATTAAACTGTCTGCATACCTAAACGACCGAGTGGCAAGCTTACGGTTGGTTTACCGGATACATGTTGGACTTTGTTGGCAGGTGGCAGACAATTTGGACACGATGGACTTTAAGGGATAAGGCATTCTTTTCCACTAGACACCCGCACCAGCTCACCGAGGCCCGTCCCCCACGACGTTCCGTTGTGTCCAAAGCCAGCTCGAGGCCCTTTCAGCAACCTCGCCCAGGTGTTTAAGTGTCCTTTTGCGTTCATTACCTCGTAAGCCTAGTTGTTTAATCACATTGTAAAGTGACTCACTCATGGTGAGTGGCAGCCATATCCGTATGTATAGTCCAGGATCCTATTTGGTTCTCATCTCTTTACCTAGCTCATGTATGGCTCCACGAATACCACTTGTGTACGGCGGTGGCCACACCACGGGCAACAGTCTTGGCTGACTGGCTAAACTACATGAGTGAAGTGGGATTAATATCCTACTAAGGGAGATGTCCATCCCTAGTACACAAAGACTGGGAAATAAGGCGGAAGAATCTAATTAAAAAGATAAACGGCTTGCAAAGCGAAACAGCAAAGTGTGTAGCACACATGAGACGCGTTGGGACACGAAGGAAAACATGGCTGGCTATCGTGGAAAAGATTGGGACCTTACCACGTAACACCCGAAGACAGTGATGGAAGCACAACAAGTTAGAAAAAGCGATGCAGGCACATCTTGGCCCCCCTGGAGTAATGCCTGTTGTAAATACAAACAGGGAAGAGACAAATCCTCTGTTGACTAGGGTAGAGCATAATGACGAGTGCACCTTAAATTCTTCTGAAAGGGCACATTCTGACAACGCATATCTGAAAAGTAGAAAGAGATGTCTTCGCATTAGCACATGGAATGTTAGAACGTTATATCAAGTTGGAAAATTTGACTGTTTAATTTCTGAGGCAAAGAATATGAATTTAGATATTTTGGGAGTATCAGAAACAAGATGGACAGAAGCGAGCTGCCTAAAGAGAGATGATTACGTATTTATTAATTGTGGAGGAGAACATCATGAACGTGGAGTAGGATTCTTGATAAAAAGAAATTTAGAGAAGTTTCTTCTGGGCTCAGAATGACAGAATTATATTGATCAAGATCAAGGCAAGACCTTTTGATATTGCAATAATACAGACATATGCACCAACAACTGACTACAGTGATGAACAGCTTGAAGAATATTATGAAGAACTACAACAAACTGTGAAAGTTGTAAAATCATCAGAGGTCTTAATAGTTATGGGAGACCTGAATGCAAAAGTGTGGAAAAAGAAGCACAAACATATTGTAGGGCAATTTGGCATGGGATCAAGGAATGACAGAGGAGACAGATTGATACAGTTTTGCGAAGCAAACAACTCATTATCTGTAATATATTTTTTCAGCATCCACCTAGAAATCTGTATACGTGGAAGAGTCCAGGAGATATAAATAGAAACCAAATTGACTATGTAATGGTTAGAGACAGGTTCAAAAACAACATCAAGAACGCCAAAACATACCCAGGTGCGGATATAAATTCAGATTACTACCCGCCCTGTGGTAATAAAAATACAAATTAAACTTAAAAACGCAGGAATAAAAACGCAAAGGTCACTCCACATAGAGATATCAGCTTTGAAACAGCCAGAAATAAGCCATCAGTACCTAGTGGGGGTTTAAAATAAATATTACAGATTAATAGTCGAAAGCATGGAACAATATCGACGGGAGAATCCGGAGGGCAAAATTATTACAACCTGGGATTGTTTCAAAACTAGTATAGAAACAGCTAATGCCATCTTACCAGTGAAAGAAAACAAGAAAAATCAAGTATGGATGACTGAGGAAATTATTAACAAAATGATACAAAGGAAGAAAGCAAAAAACACTCCAGAATAATCATTAATAGACAAAGAAATACGAAATATGTGTAGATCTGCTAAGGAAACATGGATTCAGTTAAAATGCAAAGAAATAGAGGATCTTGAAATCAAACACACAACCAAGGAAATACATGCAAATATAAGAAAACTTACAAACAAGGAAAAACATTCAACAGGAAATCGTTGTATTAGGGGGAAGGATGGAAAAATTATTGTTGATAAGAAAAAAGATATAATAAAAAGATCGACTGAATACACAGAAGACCTGTTTTGAGACAACAGGGGTGACAAACCGCCAATCCATAATATTCAAGAGGGGCCAAACATTAAAGTCTGAAGTAGAGAAAGCCAATAAACAGATGAAGCATTGAAAAGCAGCAGGTCCAGACAACATAACAGCAGAAATGTTAAAATCATTATCTGCTTTTGAAATTGATACTATCACATAAATATGCAATGACATTTATTACTATGGGTACATTTCCAAAGACATTAAACATCTGTTTTTTATCACACTACCCAAGAAATCAAAAGCTGTTGATTGTGAAGATTAAAGAACTATTAGCCTAATGAGTCACGTAACTAAGTTACTCTTGAAGATAATACAAGCAAAAATTCAAAATAAAATAGAGAAAGAAGTTTCTGAAGAGCAATTTTGATTCCGTAATAACAGTGGTACTCGAAAGGCCATAATTTGTCTAAGATGCTGACTGAAAAATATATAGAAGTTCAGAAAAATATTTATGCATGTTTTATAGATTACAAAAAAGCTTTCGACAGAGTGCAACATGAACAACTAATTCCAGCTCTTCAAAACATAGGACTAGATGGAAAGGATATCAGACTTATTAGAAACTTATACTGGGAGCAAGAAGCAACAGTAAGATATGACAACATCTGCTCACCCCAGATAGAGATCAAGAGAGGAGTAAGACAAGGTTGTGTGCTGTCGCCTAACCTTTTCAACTTATGTACAGAAACCATTTTTAAAGAAATTGTAGAATTACCAGGACTGCACATCAGTGGTAGAATAATAAACAATCTTAGATATGCTGACGACACAGTCTTGCTAGCAGAGAGTGAGCAGGAGTTGCAAGAACTAGTGGGGCAAGTAAACAGAAGGAGTGCAGAATTTGGATTAGATATTAATTTGAAAAAAAACAAAAACCATGATATTTAGCAAAGACAATAATCAGCTAACAATGAATATCACAGTGAACGGGGTAAAATTGGAACAAGTTAAAAATTTCTTATATCTTGGACAAGTAATAACATGTGACGGCAGAAGTGAAACAGAAGTCAAGAAAAGAATAGGAATGGTCAAAAAACATTTTCAACAACATGCAAAAGTTACTGACACCAAGAGAAAAAAGCAATACATTAAAAATGAGAATTGTCAAATGTTGTCTATTTTCAACCTTACTGTATGGCACAGAGACATGGACAATGAACAAACAACTGGAAAATCGTATCAATTCTTTGGATATACAGAAGATTAGGTCGTATTTCATGGAAACAAAAGCTATCAAATACAGAGGTACTGAGGAAATTGGGAATGAAAAGAGAGTTGCTAGGTGAAATAAAAAAGAGACAAGTGAAATATTTTGGCCACATTAAAAGACATAACAGTATTGCAAAGATTATTCTAAAGGGAAAGGTTCAAGGTAGGCGAGCAAGAGGCAGACAGCGTTACATGTGGGAGGATAACATCAAGAGATGGACGAACAGCAGTATGAGTGAGTGTACATCAAGGGCAAGAGAAAGGGCTTGTTTGAGATCCATTGCAGCCAACCTTCATTGTGGAGACGGCACCTGATTGATTGATTGAACGTGAAGTTGCAACGAGACCTTTGGCGCCTACCTCGACGGCGAAGACTCTTACTGTGTACGCTTCTTCCCTCCTCAGACCAGCTGCTAAGTCACTGTATTTCTCGAGCTTATACATATGGCTTTCGTCGATTCGCGACT